TTTTCCAATTTGGACAACGCCCTGGCCCCGATTTGGTCTTAGGTACTAATAGATGTGTGGTATTGGAGGAGGAGAGGCCAAGACATTGGAAAGCGCATTTTAAGACCCTTAATACTGGCTCTTTGGTTTGCCTTATGGTAAAAGGGGGTTGAGAAAGATGGATATTGGGCTCTGTCGCTGCGCCGTGGGATTTAAGGAACCTCAGAGATGGAACATGGCGTCTTCTTTAGTTGGGGTGCCTATTTACACTTTTGGAACTTGATGAACATTAGGGAATAGGAAATAACGTGGCGTCTGCCCCTGAGAATTTAGCAAGCAGTTTTGTGCAGTGGTCTCAGAGCGGGGTGTCGAAAAAAGTGCAGGTAGAGAAAGAGATAGGATTTATGTGTGGGGAGGCGGGGGGAGTGTGCCTTGGGTGGACACAGGTGCCTGCAGCCTCTGTGAATTACCTGCAGAGCTAAGGAAACCTAAGGGAACAGTGAGGGTCCTCCAGTGGAGCCCTACTTCTTTGTTCTCTGGTGTTGTGACATAGTTTGGGTGTTCTGGTTAAGTGGATTTGTGGGTTCTAGAATCTATTTAGAATCTTTATATTGTTTTATAAAAGAACGGAGCTCTTTTTAAAAATATATATATATTTTATTGATTTTTTACAGAGGAAGGAAGAGGGATAGAGAGAAACATCGATGAGAGAGAAACATCGATCAACTGCCTCCCGAACACCCCCCACTGGGTATGTGCCCCAACCAAGGTACATGCCCTTGACCGGAATCGAACCCAGGATCCTTGAGTCCGCAGGCCGACGCTCTATCCACTGAGCCAAACCGGCCAGGGCAAGAACGGAGATCTTGTACCATTTATAAAACTAAGCAATTCTTATATTTTTCACTTCCTTCCAATATTAACACCTTTACACCACCCTCTTCATGTTACTTAATGAAAAAGCACTCAAAAGGGTGGTTGAGAATAAGATGAATGAAGCATAATTGGAGAGTCATGCAAGGGAGAGGGGGAGTAATCAAGTAGAAATAGGAAGGAACTTGAGATTGAAGCTCGGCCTAGAAATATACTAGCAGGCAATTGGGTATATGAGTCTGGATGTGTGTGGTGGAGGATTCCTCTGTAGAGATTTAAATTTAGAAATCATTTGGTGAATCAGGAAATCATGGGCTATGAACTAGACCTCTTTCATTAACAGAAAAGAAGGAAATACGGAAGAGGGAGTGGTGAACCACCCTGTGCTGGTGAGCAGCTTGATATCTGATCATATTTATTCAACAACAGCCTTGATCAGCTTGATTTGATTCTCCCTTTTAGTAGGTTAGGAAACCAAGCTGAGGGAGGTTAAATACTCTGCCTGAATTCATAAACCTCATAATCGGTAGAGATGAGATGCAAACCGAGATCTGAGCCCAGCGCTCTTTCTACCTCATTACACCATGCTGAACACATCTGTAGGGCTGAGTGTAGGAAGCAAAGGAAAAAGAAGCAGCAACCATCTAAATTTTTCCGCCTGATGGACCGGAAAACTGGTGGTACCTTGAATTAACAAGGGATTTATAAATAAATGTGTGTGGTAACCTCTGGTTTGGTTATTTTCAGTCTAAGGAGCTTGTGGTACCTTGAGTAGGAGAGTTCCTTACATCATTGGAAAAGTAGGACTTGATGTGCAGGTGTTGACTTTGGAACTTTAGAAATTTAGAAACCAGAGAAGATGGAGACCGTAGGGGGAGGTGCCAACCACTCCTTTCAAAAACCTAGTCCATGTTTTCTACATAGAACTAGAAGATTGTGATTGAGTATCTAACAATGTATTTTGATAATTTGAATGAAAAGAATGTTTGCTTTTATACATTATGTTTTATAGCTTGTTTTTAATTTGCTGTTACTGATATTATTGAAATTGATATAATATTTTTCTCATTAGTCTTTCCAGGTATTTTGCTCCTTACCATAAGTTTTCTGTATATCTTTTACTGTATTTTCTACTCTATTCTGGTTTAGTCTTTATATTGTTGATGAATTTCCCTCCTTAAAAATTTGTGACATCAAGTTTCCTGTAACTGCAGGAGTGACGGGAAGCAATGCAGAAATCAGAGTGCCATGGAGACACACAGTTGAGAAACAGAGTGAGAGGTACCCAGCATCGCTTTTTAAAGGAAGAGGTGAACTTTATATTAATGACACCTCTATAGTTTTCACCTTTCTTTTTTTTCTGGGTTTTTTTTTTTTCCTTCAATTCTGAATGATAGCTTTGCTGGATAAAGTATTCTTGGTTGTAGGTTCTTGGTATTCAGCACTTTGAATATTTCTTGCCATTCCCTTCTGGCCTGCAAAGTTTCTGTTGAGAAATCAGCTGACAGTCGTATGGGTATTCCCTTGTAGGTAATTGAGTCTCTTTCTCTTGCTGCTCCAGCATCGCTTTTTAAAGGAAGAGGTGAACTTTATATTAATGACACCTCTATAGTTTTCACCTTTCTTTTTTTTCTGGGTTTTTTTTTTTTTTTCCAGGTAATGATGATCAAAGGACATCATCAAGTCCACAGAGAAAGCCTAGGACTACAGTTCAACGAAGCAAATCCTCATCCTCATCGTCAGCCAGTTCTCCAGATGCTGCAATAAAAGTCCATCCTCGACCAAGTGATAAACTTAACCCTAAAACAATTAACCCGGTAAGTACAAAAGAGATTCCTGACTCAGTTTTTCTAAGTAGTATGTACTTAGCACACCATTGAACCATTTGAATTCTGTCTTAAGTCTCTTTTGTTAGTTTTGAGGTAGTGCTGAAGGAAGGGCATATGATAATGATGGTGAAGAATGGAGAGGATGTGGGAGTGGAGGTGAGAAGGTGTACAGTTGTTATTAACCAGTTTTGGTCTCTTCTGTCTCATTCGTGGATGAGTTTTTAGAATATAAAATAAATTGCTTTATATTTTATTTGCTATGGTTATTTGACTTCCTAATACCAATGAATAAACTTGTACTTAATTGCCACAGGATGAATTATATGCTTCCATAGTTTCGTAAAGGTCTCTAGCCATTTTTCTGTGGTCTATAAATTTGCTCCACCAGAAATCCTAACTATAATACTAGCCTCCTTTTGCCTTTTCACAGCAATTTAACAAACATGAGATTTAGGCACATAAAAGTACATAATGGTGTATAGATCAGTGAATTATCCAAAAGTGAACACACCTGTGCAACACCCCCAGGTGTTTGGCCCAACCTTGCATAGGGTATTCTGATAGTGGTTTCAGCCCTTGAAAGGGATTATGAGGATAGCTGATACTCTGATTTTGACAGCAGGCAAAACAGCAAATACCTAAGCAAGGATCTAATGAAGTATCCAAGGGCACAGGAAATTATCTGACTTAGAAAAGAAAAACAGAAAGTAGTTTGAGTATCTGTGTTCCTTTGCTTCTTTCTGTAATCTGCACAGTGGCCAGGAAATTGAAACCCTGAAGAATGCTCTGATATCTTCTTGCTGTTGCTTCCTTTTCCCCATATTTAATTGAGGGAATTTGCAGCCTTAATTTTTTTCCCAATGCAAGCAACACTTTTCCAGTTAATTTCTTTATCTGATATGATTCTTACTTGAAAACAATTTTTAAACATATTTTTCTTAGGAATTATAACTTGATGAATGAAATATTACTATTGCTGTGAATTACTATACAGAATTACTACTATAGATTGAGCTTTGCAAATGAATCTTTTATTATGACATTTTATTTTAATGAAATTTCATGTATGTATTTTTACTCAAAACGTTTTACTAGAGGGAAGAGGACTAATTCTAAACTTAAGCGTATATATTTCTGAAGTACTGCGTATGATTAAAAATGTTTTTAGCTATTTATCTGTAATAAGTTTCTATTTTGTAATTTAAATAACTGTTTCTTTTGATTATAATGAAAGTACCATATTGTAAATTATTTACTTTGGGTGCCTTTAAGTCTCTGATCAATTATATTGAAACTATTTTGCTGTGATTGTTTTAACTGTTATGATTGATCATCTCTTAAATTGCCTTTGAGAGTAGGTCCAGAATTAATCTGTTCTTAAGATAATAATATAGCAAAACTGACAGTAGTGAAGTTATATATCTAAGCATACATATATGGGCCTATGTTTGTGAGGGTCTCGCTCAGTCTCCAGCTCTAACACGTGACCCTGTCCAATGGAAGCCTTTAATTTTTATGGAGACAAAGCCCGTTTGGGAAATGACAAGTTCTCTGACCATCCAGACCAGGTATAAGTAGCTGGAGGACAAGTAGGAAATATCCTGAGGGCTAAAAACAAATACACTTTCCCTCACTTAACACCTTCTCCATTTGCTTCTCACTTTAGACAGTTACAGTAGGGAGGGGATGGAAAGATGTTATCTTATTATATTTATGATATTTATATTTGTCTATGTTTTATTTATTATATGTATGGTTTCAGGCATCTTCATGCCTTCTGAAACAAGTTAGGTGTGAAAGAAAATATAGAAAATGTGTTTGTGTGTTCAGTCCCGAAAGAACTGATAAATTTTCTCAATTGTGCTGAGTAGAATGATGCACTGGAAAGTTGGAAGTGGCTTGAAAGTCAGGGTGTTCGTTTGCCTCTGACCTGAGCAGGATTAAAATTGATTAGATATCACAAAGTGGAGGTGATCGTAATATTTATTGTGTGTGTGTCACATTGTATTTCAGTTCGGTGAACAGTCACGAGCCCCTTCTGCATTTGCAGCTGTTTACTCTAAAGGTGGTATTCCTTGCAGGTAAATCAATACAGGTTATAACTCACCATGTTATTCAAAATAATTGAGTAAGATCAATATGCTATTCAGTTTAAATTTATTGAAAGTTTTATTTACAAAGGAGGTTGAAATAAAGGTGACTTATACTTTTGGGCTGTTGGATTGGTATCCTGGGACATTGTTGAAGAAAATAATTTTAATTCCAAAATAGCATTACCCATAGATATAATAGGTTTGAAGTCATGGTTTCCTACATGTTATAAAATAATGCTAATGTAGTTATATTCCAAAAAGAATATGTATGTGTTAGATCAGCGGTTCTCAACCTGTGGGTCGCGACCCCTTTGGGGGTCGAACGACCCTTTCACAGGGGTCGCCTAAGACCATTGGAAAACACATATATAATTACATATTGTTTTTGTGATTAATCACTATGCTTTAATTATGTTCAATTTGTAACATGAAATTGGGGGTCACCACAACATGAGGAACTGTATTAAAGGGTCGCGGCATTAGGAAGGTTGAGAACCACTGTGTTAGATAATCACTGCTTATTATATAACTGCTAGAGGCCCAGTGCATGAATTCATGCCCAGGTGGGGTCGGGCTGGGCTGGCCGGGGGGAGGGGCTGCAGGCGGTTGGTCGGCCGGCCCTGCTCCCTGGTCAAACTCCTGGTTGAACTCCCGGTAGAGGGGGCAATTTGCATATTAGGCTTTTATATATATAGATATTGTTCTTGTTACATTCACTGGTTTTATATTTTAGGTTGGTCCATGGTTCAGTAAAACACAGATTACAGTGGGACTCTCCTCCTGAAAATCTTTCCTTTGATCCTCTTCTTATTACTTTAGCCGAGGTAAATCAATACTCCATCTCCTGAGTGTTTATGGGGGAAAATCTCTTACAGTTGCAATAAATGTTATTTTATAACTCATCAGTAAATCTCATTCTTTACTTTTGAAATCAGAGTGAGACAATAGGCATTAAAATACTACACTCTCTTAGGAACTAAATATAATTGGCGTGTGATTATTAGAAACTAATTAATTAGCTTTATAAACATGAGATTAGTCTACACAGGGATTTGTAGGTAAGTGGTTGAAATATTCATACTTAAAGTATAAAAGTACTTAAAATCATAACATGGAGGAAGATTTTTGTTGAACTAGTCAAATTAAGAGAACATCACTGGTTTAAAAATAGCTACATAAGATAACAATGAATAGTTGGTCTCTCTGTAGAGCCAGTCCTATTTAACACTCTATTTCTTAGGAAACTCATATTAACTACTTAATGTTATTTTGTAGAATTCTCCAGGATTTTGCCTACTTGTACATCCTAAGTAACACACCATGGAGATGTTTTTATAGATTTTTTTAAAAAAAAACTTCAGATAGGTTCCTTTATATTATTTAACATCTGTGTCAGGAAAACAAATTGTAAAATCATGGTAACAGGTGCATTCGTAAAGTGGTATTTATAAACACACATTGTAGACTAACTCACTGCTTTCAGGCAGTGTTGAGGAGTTTGTGCGAAATGCATTTAGAATCCTAGTCAGTTTTTCTCTTCCTTTTCCTCTTTATTTCTTTTTGTTTATCTTTCCTCTCCCTCCCCCTTTTCTTTTCTCCCTGCCTTTCTTTCCTTTTTTAAAGTTCCCGATATATTTTTTACCTCTCCTTTCTTTCCTTATTTTTCTGTTTTTCTTATTACTTTTCTTTTCCTCCCTCCCTCCCTCCTTCCCTCCCTCTCTTCTTCACTCCCTCCTTCTCTCCCTTCCTTTCTTCCTTCTTCCTTCCTGTAGATAGAGATCCTTTCTGTATTATATATGTCTTTTATTCCACAATTTATCTGTTTAATTAAAAATGTAATTACTGAAATTATATATCATGATTAGGAAAACAATAATAAACTTGATTTTCATTTACACGAGTAAGGATTCAGTTTTTCTTATTAGCATAAATCATGTGGGTTTTTTGTTTGTTTTGTCTTTGGCAGGGTCTGAGAGAGACTAAACATCCATACACCTTTGTTTCAAAGGAGGGTTTTAGAGAATTACTCTTGGTCCGAGATGCTCCTGAAAAAGCTGTGCCTTTGCTTCCTAGACTGAGTCCTGTGCTGAAGGCGGCTCTGGTATGTGCTTTATTCTTTGGACTTTCTCTGGTACATTTAAGATATTTTATGTCTTCCAAATTATATGCACATTAGCTTTTTACCTGTGATTTTGATGTGTATGCAGAATTAGGTCACTGTTCTTCAGGGCCAGATGATTACTTACTTGCAAACACCGTTAAGAGAATGTACTAAAAATAAAATGGGACATTTTGAGTAATTAGAGAAAGTAATGAACCTCAAAGCAGTCTTTCTGCAGGCTGCGATATATCTTAGTTAATGTTTCAGTCAAGCTGAAAATTTGTGTGTTGCTTCTACATATCCTGCATTAAAGGCTATTCTTAAAATTCTCGGTTTGGTTGATTATCATCTAATTTGAATATTCACTCTCTCTTTTTTCTCCCCCGGCTTCTCCTTTCTCCTAACATCTCCTTCCTTTTTCTCTTCTTTCCCTTCCTATCCTGATACTCCTGACCAACTAACGCTCCACAGGCCCATTCGGATGATGAAGTGTTTGAAAGAGGACTGAATGCTCTCGTGCAGTTAAGTGTCGTCGTTGGTCCTTCTCTGAATGACCACCTGAAACATCTGCTTACCAGTGTGAGTACTGAAAAGACTAGAGAGCAGCTGTGAGTGTGTATCATGCACTATCCGTATCTCTTCATAATGTAATGGTGTCAAATGATTCAAAACCTCAACAAAAAAAGAAAACCAAAAACTCATCATCCTAACCAAAATCATTGTAGTGGTTCATAAAACATTTTACTAAGGAGAGTATGCTCTTTAAACATTTTCAATGGAAAGCACCCACATGAGCAGAATTTAGGGTTGTAGTGCACCCAAATTAATGAGCAATGTAATGGGATCATGCCCGTGTTGATTAGCTAAGAAGCACTAGTATAAGCAGAGTTTATCCACCCTCTTGTGTAATTTATGTTGCCAAAGCTGTATTTGTTATTTTTTTGTTTTGTCAGCATTTTGGTGAGTCTCGCACTCAGGATGAGACATTTTCCTGTTGCATTAGTATAAGCAGAGTTTATCCACCCTCTTGTGTAATTATATGTTGCCAAAGCTATATTTGTTATCTTTTTGTTTTGTCAGCATTTTGGTGAGTCTAGCACTCAGGAGGAGACGTTTTCTTGTTGCATGTAGTTTAATTCTTATCACAGTTACACACTGGGACACTGCAGTTCAGGAAGTCCCAAGACCACCCTTAGGTTGAACAGTTTGCAGACAGGACTCATGTTGCTCAGAAAGTCTGTTATTCGCTGTTAGTTTATTACTGAGAGGACACAGATTGACATCCACAAAGGGAGGAGCCGCGAAGAGCAGGATCCGGGCCAGGCCGGGTGGAGCTTCCTCTCAGTGGAGTTGCGCACACAGTGCTGACTGTCTCAGCAAGGGCGAGTGGCAGCGCGCATGGAGTCTGCCAGCTGGGGACGCTCCCCTGAGCCTTGGTGTCCAGGGTTCTCACGGGGGTCTGTCCACAGGTATGATGACTCCCTGCATGGTTGACCTTAGTCTCCAGTCTCTCCCTAAGTTGAGCTGACACCCTGTGGCCTACAGTCCCCATGCAGATCACATTGCAGGCCCAGACTATCTGATGTGATAGTCTATGCCATCGTCTTATCTGGCAGGACATTCCAAGGGCTTAGGGGTTACCATTCAGGAGCCAGGGCAAGGCCAAACCTTTCCTTAGGCAGGTAGTCCTTTACTGCATGCACTGATACAGAGATTCGAGTCCTGTCCGGGATAACCCACAGCTAGGATGTCTGCGTGCATCTCTCTAGTTCAGAGCTGAGGCATGCATGTGGATTATAGTTCCATTGTTTTTCCTTGGACCCACCTACCTGGGAGATCCTAGAACGCAGGTAAAATCAATACAGGTTAAAACTCAACATGTTATTCAAAATAATTGAGTAAAATCAATACAGTAGTCAGTTGAAATGTATTGAAAGTTTTATTTACTGGGGAGGTTGAAATAAAGGGTTCAGGCTCTGCATGAGTACTGCAGGCATTGGGGGGAGCACAGTTACAGGTTTGCACTGTGTGATTTCCCTCTTTGCTCTGTGATTCTCTCCTCTCTCACCTGGACTCTCCCCTGCAGTCAGTCCCACCTGCAGTCAGAGGCCCATTCTGGACACACCTAGGGACACGTGCTCTTGTGGTTTCTAGTCTGACTCCCCTCTCACTGTTAGAGTTAGTCATGTAGATGCTCTCTTTGTTGTCTCTTCCCATTTTTACTATTGGAAGCACACGTGTTTAGAGGCTTAGTTTTTTGTCATAGTTCTCCAAATGCTCTTGCAAATTACCAAATGGAAAAATATGCAATTTCATAGAAAACTTACTCTGGATACCACATTGTAGCATATTTTGTAGGATTGGTATTATTTGAAATAATTAAATGAATTGATTTATTGCCCCAGCAAATAGAGTGGCATCTATTTCAATGATATTTCCTGAAAGAAGCCTAAAACAGGTGGTGTTTGTACTTATTATACAATAAAGACTCAGTGACATTATTTCTAATTAGCCTACTTTTTAGTGAAGCTTTACTTATGCTTAAGATGAATGTTACTGCTTTTTAAAATCATTTCATTCCCCCAATCTTATTTTTAAAGCTATTCAAGAGACTAAGGGACAAGAAGTTCAAAGAGCCGATCACGAATGCATTGCAGAAGCTGGAGCAGCATGGTGGAAGTGTGAGTAGGACAATCTTCCTTCAGTCCTGATCGTTTCTTACCTTTAGTCATATTGCATATTTGACTGTATAATGTATTACCTCTTCATTGGCAAGTAACCATGTGGAGCTGATAGGTCTATCTCCATGTGAGGGCCCTGAGTCTCTGTGTTCCTGGGTCGCACGTTCTGAGCACTAGGATTCCGCCCTGGGTTGTATGAACACAAGGCCGTATGGTTCCGCTATGCTTACTGAGTGGCACTCGTGTGGGGAAGCGCTTGTTTTCTTTATTTGGGATGTTTTTGCTTTGACTATTTAAAAGTTCATAAAACAGAAGGATTAATGTAGAAAGCTCATTGAAGAAAGAGTACTTTTCCTTTCATTTGCCATCTTTCTGTCTAAAAAATTTATAATTTGCCCATAATCAAAGATTGAAATGAGATTTCCAGATGGCTTTGATATTATGTCTGCAAGCACACACTTGCTGGAACGTGAGCACGTGTGTGTACAGCACACAGGGCTGACTCAGTTAATTATTTTAAATGGCAAGAAGGTGCGGAAATGTAGGGGATTTCATTATCTGTGTGGTATCAAATAAGTAGGTTGAGTTTTCATCTTTTGAAAGAAATGTTCAGATAATCTAATCTTGGAAATATTTCCATAAAGCAATGTTCCCATCTTGATTTGGAGCTTACATTTAATCAGAGCTTAATGAATAGAGTTGCATGTGATTATCTTAACATGGCACAACTTAGTTTCATTCTAGGTACATTCAAAAGGAATTAATTATAAAGAAATTTGTATGATCATATAGTTTAAAATGGCAGATGTTTTAGTTTAGCTTTGCCTAAATTACTCAATTTGACCAATTTCAGTGTCTTTTTAAATTGAAGATATTCTTTGCATGATGAATGCCTTGAATAAAATTTGTGAGGAGGAAGTAATTCCCAAGGCTTTCTTTGTTGTATGTGGGTCCCAGGCAGAGGATTAGCATTCAGACCTCTTGTGGTGATGCACAAAACCATCCCCTAGCCAACCCTGTGTCCATCCTCAGCAGAAAAGAAATTCATATTGCTTGCAAATGTGTTTGCTGCTCTGGGAACTGGAATTGAAAATGAATTTCTTGTAAACAGATGCTTACTAATGATGGCACAGCTTTTCAGTCTGAAACTCTGCCCAGGTGGTTTTCACACATCCTGTGGACTGGTGTGGGGAAGGGGCAAGTAGAAAGGGCAGGCCCAGTAAGTTAGGATGTGCCTGTGGAGGAGGGGAGAGTCTGTGCATAAAGTTTAGAAATTGCACAGTAAGATTTGGAGGGGGAGCACCTGGGGTGTAATTGACCAATCCAGGGTCTCAGAGATAGCTAGCAAGGGAGTAACTCTTTTGCTACTCAGTCTCATTGTTTTGAATCATGCTAATCCAGAATAAATAAAGATTTTGAAGTCATAATATCTTACATAATTTACTAGTAATTGATGTATTTGCAATGTCCTTTTACAATTCCATCAATTATTACATAGCCTATTCTCACATATCAGAGAGTTTCCCTGGGCTTGATGACTGTTGTACTTGCTTTGGATACTTCCTAGTTCTTCGTGAAAATAATGGATGCTCTTCTTTCCCTTCTAAAATGTAAAGGTTTATTTTTCTTTCTCTTTATTTAAATATTTAGAGATGAATCTTTAAAAAAAGAATTTTCTCAGTGTGGTAGTTTCTCACTTCTTAGGGCCTGCCACTATCACAATAATGGAAAGACTCAACTTCTGGGGAAACAAAAATATCAGCTACAGATAGTCACGGTGTCATTTTCTTATAACTAATCCATTTACAGCCCACCTTAAATTGAGCTTGGTTCATTCTGAGCTTGATTTGTGTTTTTTCTAGTTGATATGCACATTTGTCTTAGGTACATACTTCACACACACACACCTATCTTTATTGAATATGTGGGAACATATTACATGCGGGTATTTTATTGAGTACTTTTTAGACATTAAACTCATTTAATCTGTACTACACCCCTCAGAGGAAGGTTTGGTTGCTATCCCCCTCAAAAGATCTAGAATCTGAGGCACAGAGATATCACTACTCCGGATTTGACAGGAAGTGACTGAATTCATGCTGGTGGTCTGATTCCTAACTACTATGGTTACATATTTTTAAAAAACAGTAAGATATAACCTACAGTTTATTTAACTCAGAAAAAGGTTTCACTTCTCATTTCATCATCCAATTCTTATCCCGTTTCGTTTATTTGACTTTTGGATACTTTTTGAGACATGCTTTTGGAAATGTAATTCTATTATACTATTAGGGGAAGCCTACATGATACTAATGGGGCTTTTTTTTTTTTTTTCTGTTGACAGGGAAGCCTTATCATCATCAAAGCTAAAATTCCAACATATTGCTCCATATGTTGTTGAAGAAGGGAGCTGACAGAAATCTTACTGCCTGGTGACAGGTGTTACACGCTGGCCGTGGATACCTGTGGGACCTTCTCAGTTCACTGCAGGCTATTCTTTTCTAAATCACAGCCACCATTCATTATTTACTAGTTTCCGATGAATATGCACAATTCCACTGAATCATAGTAAGTTATTCCACAACAAAAAGAATGGTTAATACTGGAAAGGAATTTAAAAGGTTCTATAATAGGACAGTTTTGTGGGGTTTATTTTTCATATTTCTATGGTTTGTGTCAACAACCATTATTGGGTTTATGGCAGTGATGGCGAACCTTTTGAGCTCGGCGTGTCAGCATTTTGAAAAACCCTAACTTAACTCTGGTGCCGTGCCACATATAGAAATTTTTTGATATTTGCAACCATAGTAAAACAAAGACTTATATTTTTGATATTTATTTTATATATTTAAATGCCATTTAACAAAGAAAAATCAACCAAAAAAATGAGTTCGCGTGTCACCTCTGACACGCGTGTCATAGGTTCGCCATCACTGGTTTATGGTATAAGCGTTTGTATTTATTTTCTAGTGTCTTTTGTTTATAACAGCCCTTTTGCAATCAGTTTGTAGCTGTATATTTACTTCTACACATTTTGCCATTTCTGGATTTAATATTAAGGCTATAGAAATTTAAAATAGTGGACCTTTGTGAATTCATTATTAATTATTGTTTGTAAATATGTCTTTTATAATGTAGAATACTTCCGAAATATCCAGAGTATTCTAGTTTAAGGATTTTTTTTTAAATGTGTAAATTCTCTTATAAGTATGTTATTTATTATAACTCATTAAAACTACCTAAACTTTAGGTGTCAATTGTATTTAAGCAAATGTTATTTTTGTATTTCATAATCTGAATTCAGTACATGAAGAGATTCAGAAAGTAAAATGATCAGTCTATGTAGTCAGAGATTTTGTTGTGCTTGCTTATTTTGAATTAATTAAATTTAAAAGGCTTTTGAAATTTACAGGCGTCGTCCCGGGTGTTGATGTAGTAGAAGCTGACTCTGGATGATCTACGAGAGGAAGGAGTAGAAGAGAAATAGAAAACGAGATTAAGACTTTCCCCCTCAAGGGCAAGAAGGGAGCCCATAGAAACGAGTCGTCGCACCAAATCCAAGCTGACTGATATTTCCGAAGAGGGGACGTGAGGGGTCACTCTTATATAGGGGCAGCGATATCATATTCCAGAAGCACCAGAGGAAACCAACACCTGGAGTGACCTCTTTGCAGTCTCGCTTTAACTAGTCTCCAGCTATAATTGAAAAGAATGCAGGTAATTTCTGAAGCATCATAGTTGCAGAAGTGCTCGTCGTCCTTCGGATCTTGTGTGCTTCCTGGGTCCCTGCCTGGTACACTCTCCTCAGGTCGCACTTGTAACATCCTCAGGTAATATTAGCTACAACGTCTGCCTGCCCTGGCCTCTCTCTTACTCTCCCACATTGCACTCAGCGCCACCCAAGCTAAAGATACCGACAATCTAGAAAATGCCATAAGCAAAAATATTGTTAATCTAGTCATTTTAAAATTTGTTGGAATAAAGACCTATAAGATACAGTAGAGTTATAAACATTTTATTTGCTTTATTTTCTCTTTTTGAAATACAAAATGTGCACATTGAGTTTACACAAATACGCGATGGCGAGTTTCAGTGTACATGTATTGTACTACTCTTAATTCTACACTGGTGATAGCAGGGCAGCTTTCCACATCCTATCTCTACACCAGAATAGATACCTGATTTATTGTTGCAAAGACAGTTGCAAGTTTCCTCCTACAGTAACCTCTTGGTCTTTGTGATATTTCTGCAAAACAGGGAAGGTGTGTGTATCTTTAGTAATGTTATGGCAACTTTTACAGTTTTGGCTTGAGAGTGTGAAAAAGAATCTGAATTATTGGAATTGGATGATAAGCTAAATCATAACACCTTCCAAATGAGTTGCTTAGCACTTGATATGCATTTTCAACTAAATTTTGGAATTGGAGTTCTGGCTGTAATGGAATCACTGGTGCTTTCAAAGTGACTTCTGCTTGCTGTTCCTTCCTAGCACACGTTGGAGTGGTCAGGTTTCTTTGCCCTGATGGCATGTAACATAAAGGTGCCTGAGGGAGTCCAGGGAGAAGATGCAATAGGCTTTTAGTGCGATTAAAATTACTCATTAGCATTACTGGGGACTGGAGGACAGATGTCTGACCCTTCACATATACCTATAAACACCCTCACTGTCTTCCACCTTCTCGGGCTTCCACTTAGTGACAATGGGATAAACATCAACTTGTTGAATTAAGCAAATCCAAAATTATAAACATCATGTAGGCCTTGGCTTGATAAGTATTTATGAAAAATTAAAAAATGCTTATTAAATAAGCTATTAGGCATATGTGGACATCTGGTGATCAACTAATTTGTTTCATATTATTTAGAAAACCGCCAGATAAATGAATGTCTTTAACAGAAGGCAGCAAATCCATAGGAACTGTGACTGTTGCTTTCTTAAATCTTGGTAGTTTTGTTCACTTAAGTATATAGTGGAATTATAGCACACAAACACGAAAATTAATTTCTGGAAATTAAATGCAGATGCCAACATTTTAGAAAACCATTTAAAATCCTGGGGTTGAGTACATACACATGAGTAGCAGAAAACATTTTAAAGTCACTGATAATGTGAAAGCCTCAATAATCCCATGGCTAAAGTATCGATAAAACTATATGCCAGATTCTATTACTTTTGAATATCCACAGGGTGTGAAATGACTTAGACCATCCCATGAAATTTGCATTATGAAAAGGATGCAAATTTAAAAGTGGAGAACTCAAATCTTTTGGGGACTGTTTCATATGAAAACAAAGCTGGTTTGCATAATATGCCTCAGTGTCAAGCTGAGCAGTCTATGCTAAAAGTGGCAGCTCCCACTTGTGTGGTAGGATCATTCACATTTGTCTGAGGATGTATTTGACAAGTTAAATCACATTTTCAAAGAGCTGCATGGAGCGCATTATGTTTTCATCCTGTAAGGGAGAAACAGCGGGATTAAATTGAGCATATTTGCAAGGCAAGTACAGCAAACTCTCAACATCACTGATAGTTCCTGTGACGAAGCGAAATGATGTACAGGAAACCAATTCTACCATAAGCTAATTGATATAAACAAGAGTTAAGTCCCTATGGCATATCACCATTATAACAAAACGTTGAATGAATGACATTGAACAGAACGAGTTAAGTCCCTATGGCATATCACCATTATAACAAAATGAATGAATGACATTGAACAGAATGATGTTGAATGAACATGAACAACACTGTCTGAAATGATGTTATTCGAGGACCTGCTGCACACCATTTTCCCTCTAAGTACTGCCGTTTTCCAACTATGTGCTCCATATAGAAAACTGGAGAGCCCATTTTAGGTTTTGTTGAGTCTACCAGACCTTAAATAGTTCATTTAAATCACACTTGGTGTTGCCCTTGCAGGTTTGGCTCAGTGGGTAGAGCGTCAGCCTGCAGACTGAAGGGTCCTGGGTTTGAATCCCATCAAGGGCATGTACCTGGGTTGCAGGCTCCTTTCCAACTATGTGCTCCATATAGAAAACTGGAGAGCCCATTTTAGGTTTTGTTGAGTCTACCAGACCTTAAATAGTTCATTTAAATCACACTTGGTGTTGCCCTTGCAGGTTTGGCTCAGTGGGTAGAGCGTCAGCCTGCAGACTGAAGGGTCCTGGGTTTGATTCCCGTCAAGGGCATGTACCTGGGTTGCAGGCTCTCGGTCCTGGTCAGGAGCATGTGGGAGGCAACCAACCAATGTGTGTCTCTCACGGTGTTTCTGTTTCTCCCTCTCCCTTCCACTCTCTCTAAAAAAATCAATGGAAAAAATATCCTCGGGTTAGGATTAAATCACACTTGGTGTTAATAGAGGATATTTCTCAAAGCGGATGCCAGAATGAAGAGTCGGAGGGTAAAACAAAGTAAAGAAATGCAAATTTTGACATTCCAGGTGGATCACAGACTTGAACACGTAGAAGGAAACAGGATTTGTGTGAGTTAAGAGCCAACTTCGTGAGGACTGGAAGTTGGGGCTTTGGGATGTGTTGCCACTTGTTTCTGGATGTGTTAGAGCTAATTCTGTGTGGCCTTTAGGAGCCTTTAAAAACGAATGGCCTTGCCCTGGCTGGCTCAGTTGATTGAGCGTCATCCTGTGCACCAAGAGGTTGCTGGTTTGATTCCCGGTCAAGGGCACATACCTAGTTGTTCGGGGCCATGTGGGAGGCAGTCTATTGATGTTTCTCTCTATCCCTCTCTCTCCCTTCTCTAAAAATCAATCAACTATTCTTTAAAAAAAAAAATGTTCTCTCAACACCGGAGAAAGAATAGTTTGGGAAAAACCATTACCCGTTGGCTGTGTTTGTTTTTAGCACCGTGGTCGGCAAACCGCGGCTCGTGAGCCACATGTGGCTCTTTGGCCCTTTGAGTGTGGCTCTTCCACAAAATACCACGTGCGGGCGCGCACATACAGTGCGATTGAAACTTCGTGGCCCATGCGCAGAAGTCGGTATTTTGTGAAAGAGACGGTATTTTGTGGAAGAGCCACACTCAAGGGACCAAAGAGCCGCATGTGGCTAGCAAGCCGCGGTTTGCCGAGCCACAGTTTGCCGACCACTAGTTTAGCATATTCCTTAGAAACATAAGGGTCAGACTTGGGGCATCTCAGGGGCACTTGGAGACTGTATGTGAATGGAGGTCAGTGAGCTTTTTCTTGTAGGGCAAATAGTAGCTGAACTAATGCTGACTTGCACTCCTAGAAGCCAGGCCACAACAGCAGCACTAAGCAGGCCGGTTCTCCCCACGTCCACCAGCTTAAATATGAGTTTAGAAACAAGCAGGCGCCAGGGAAGGGGAAGTATATCAATTCATAAATAGAAAAGCTAAAGTACGACAAACGTCTTTGTCTATATTTATTTTTAAAATTGTGAATTGTGGTTCTAGCCACACACCTATTCAGAGACTCCTAGGTAAGCTGAAACTGGCCTCCCGCTGGATGCCAGCCAGCCTGGTTTTCCCTCTGAATTTACAGCTCTTTATTTTTTGTGACTGAAGGCCATTACTGCTTCAGCCCAAAGCCATTCTTGTCCACATATATTAACACAATGATGTTTCTCTTAGAAATTGGCTGTAAGCCTGGCCTGTGTTGAATACTTAGCTGTCCTGGAATTCTAAAGCTGTGGAAATATGATTGACAATATACATGCTATAGGCTAGACTCTAGGCAAAGACCAATGTAAATCTGCCATATGCTTTATTCTCAATGATGAACACTCTCTAAAGTATTTAGGGAACAAAACTCAGTCTATGTGCGACTTTCGCATCTCCAGGGCTTACCTACACAGCTGTGGGCAATCTACAAATGCCAATCAATTTAACATAGAAACTGGTGATTGTTTCAGGGCGTGGGCTGACCTCAGCTGTAAAAGTCATAAACTGAGGTCTACGATCTTTATATTTTGCTCACTTCATGGTGGCTAGTTGGCAATACTCAGTCTAGCTGTTACAAAAGCAAAAATGGATGGTTCCTTTACTGCCGTTACTTACTTTTTGGCAACTTTCGATGAATTCATCTATAGTAACAACTCCATCTTTATTTTTGTCCATTTTCTGTTCAGGAAGAAAAGAACAAAAACCTTTATTCAGACTTTCCCCATGATACCCTCACACCTTAACCAAATGAGCTGAAGATGAGAAACAACAACAACAAAAACAAGCCCTAGCAGGTTTGGCTCAGTGGATAGAGAGTTGGTCTATGAACTGAAGGGTCCCAGGTTCAGTTCTGGTCAAGGGCACATGCCTGGGTTGTGGGCTTGATCCCCAGTAGGTGGCATGGAGGAGGCAGACGGTTAATGATTCTCTCTCATCATTGATGTTTCTCTCCTCCCTTCCTCTCTGAAATCAATAAATATTTTAAAAAAACAAAACCCACTGTTTGTTTATTGGGAGGAACTGCCTCAGAACAAACTAGTAATTTCCTAGCCATAAGAATCATCTGGCTGACTTCTTCGAATCTAGGCTCTTCTTTGTCAACAGAATGTGGGGAAGATCTAGTCCCTGACCTAGGTAAAACCCTGCCTTCCAGCCATGCCAGAGCTCAGGTGATTTGCTGAAATGTTCAAAGTCTTAGTCTTCTCACCTCTAAAATGGGGCTAATAAGGATTTATAACCTCATAGGGTTCTTATGAGAACTGAATTAAAAAACAACAACACATTAAATGCAATTGCTTAGTATTCTATCTAGGGTATTGTGAATGTTCAGTAGTTATCAGTATTATAATTATTCAAGACCAAAATTATTCAATTGTTAGGATGGTGAATATTCTATCATTTTATCCCTTTCAGGAAACGCTCTTTTACTTTACATTCTTTTGAATCATCATGACACTTTGAAAACAGAAAATGTTCTCTTAATTTCTGTTTCTCTCTGGCTTCCATATGCATTCCTACCTGGAAAAATGTCTCCACGTGTTGTCTGGGAGCGTCTTCTTTGAGGACCGGATATGTGCATTTACCCATCATGTCGTATATTGCTTTCATGATATCAAGCATCTCCTGAAAAGCCAAGGGCACGCTCGTGAGGCTGCAAGCAAAGTGCGAGGAAACCACCCAGAAAGTCTAACAGGGAATTTCTACTCAATTTCAAATTTCTGATTTCTCTGTGATTCTTCATTAAATGCCTTTCAGTTGTGAGGAAAAGGCAACAGCTTTGTGCTTTAAAAGCAGCAGAATGAGAATGTAAGAATTATTTCTGACCTTCGTTTCAAAATGAAGTAAATTCTGACATATCGAACATGATCAGCAAAACCCTGGCTTAGTGTTTGGGTCTCTGTAGACTTCACACAGACTACCTTCATTTTATTGAGTTACGCAAAACCCTGGCTTAGTGTTTGGGTCTCTGTAGACTTACAGACTACCTTCATTTTATTGAGTTATTATAGATCTTACATGTTTATTATCAATGTGTTTATTGAGAATAAAATATAACTGCATCACGAGAATTATACTAAAAAAATCAAAGCTCATTAGGATTTTCATTGTTTTGTGTGTGTGTGTTTTTTCCTTCTACTATTGCTTTAACTGAGGAAATCACACATGTAAATTAATCAAAATATTATGACTCTGGGATGCACCTTAAAATTTCATCATTATTTTATTAAAAGCTAGTTTTCAACTTATTTTCAATCTTAGTGAAAATAATATCTAATTATCTAGACATTCAGGTTTATTGTTTAATGTTTGTTTCCTTCATACTGAATTCTCCACATAAAAGGATCAGGATTCGGTTGATATAACATTTACTTTTGAGAGTATTCAATTCTATAATAAATGACAAATAGTCTGTAGTTTATAAATCATGGGTGAAACTTTTAACGGTGTTCTGAGTTTAGAGAAGTAGTAAGAAGTTTGCTTGCCACAGGCAGAATTCATGAGATATGTCATATATAAAGAGCAAGAACATCATGTTTGTGTTAAACAAAGAAAGGGATAGAAAGGGGTTGGAGGACCAAGAGATACCTAATATTCCTGAGGCATGTGAGTACTAAATGCTTATTGGATACCAAATATACAAGAGGCACTAACTATCCAGGATATGCTCTGTATACACAGAAAATTAATATTCATGAGTTCTTAATGTAGCCACCCATCGAGGAGAAACATCCTGGTTCCACGAGTCCTCTGCTGAAGAAACACAAATAAAACCTATGGCCATTGGCCAGGCTAATTTTGTTGCTATAAGTGAAGTCAGATGCACTTGTCCCTTTGTCTCTGGTAGAGCAAGTTCATGTCACTGACCCAGGATACCTTTCATTTGAGGGGCCTCTTGCTCAAATCTCACCTCTGGGGAAAAGCCAGTGAGCCAGAGAAAAAGACAGCACATAGAATATTGAGCCGTCCCAGGATTTAGGTAATGTGGTCCTTCCACCTTACTTGCACCTTATCCTAAATTAGTTAACTTACCATGCCCTTTCCCCTTGCTTCTCAGTGTGCTTTAAGTTATTTTTAAATTCAAACCATTTGATTTGAATATCTTATTTGGTCTGTGGGCCTGAAGGATTGGGAGGTCCCACCATTCCATGAGGTCATTTCCCACACCATAAAGGCCATGCAGGTCATCACACACATAACCTATGTGACTTTAAGTTGCACCTGTTTCCATGTGAACCACATT